CTTTACATGTAAGTGTTGAATAAAGATATTAAATGTAAGTGTGGAATAAATACTCTAAATGTAAGAGTGGAATAAAGACTAAATGTAAGAGTTGAATAAAGACACTACATAAGTGTGGAATATAGACTATGTAAGTGTGGAATAAAGACACTACATGTAAGTGTGGAATAAAGACACTACATATAAGTGTGGAATAAAGACACTACATGTAAGTGTGGAATATAGACACTACATGTAAGTGTGGAATAAAGACACTACATGTAAGTGTGGAATATAGACACTACATGTAAGTGTGGAATAAAGACTCTAAATGTAAGAGTGGAATAAAGACACTAGGTAAGTGGAATAAAGATATTACATGTAATTGTGTAATAAAGACACTACATGTATGTGTTGGGAATAAAGACTTTACATGTAAGTGTGGAATAAGGACATTACATGTAAGTGTGGAATAAAGACACTAAATGTAAGAGTGGGATAAAGACACTAAATGTAAGTGTGGGGAATAAAGACATTACATGTAAGTGTGGAATAAAGACACTAAATTTAAGTATGGAATAAAGACTACATGTAAGTGTGGGGTTTAAAGACATTACATCTAAGTGTGGAATAAAGACATTACATGTAAGTGTGGAATAAAGACACTACATGTAAGTGTGGAATAAAGACACTACATGTAAGTTGAATAAAAAAACTGAATTAATAAACTAATTAAGTGTAATTGACAAAAATGTTTCATTTAATAACGATACTACCATGTAAGTGTAAATAAAGACCTAATTGATAAGTTGAATAAATGAACTTAAATGTAAGGTGGAAATGAGACAGAACTACTACTGTCAACATTGTGGAATAAAGACATTTAATGTTACAGTGTGGAATTAAAGACACTGATGTAATGAATAAAGACTATATTAATAAACAGTGTACTTGACAACAATTAAAGTTGATATATAACACTAAATTACAGTGTAGAATAAGACACTAATGATGTGGTGGATAAAGCATAGTTAAGTTACTAAAGACACTAAAGTACATGGATTTGGGAATAAAGACTAATTTATTGTGAATAAAGACTACATATAAGTGAAAAAAGAACAAATGTACGTGTGAATTAAAGACACTACATGTAAGTGTGGGAATGAAGATTTACATGTATGTTTGAATAAAGATATAAATGTAAATGAATGAAATACTCAAATGTAAGGTGGAATAAAGATAATGTTCATGTTAAAATAAACACTACATAGTTGGAATATAGACTATGGTAAAATGTGGATATAAGAATACAGTATGTGAATAAAGACACTATTTATAGTGTGGAATTAAAGACTCTACAGTAGTGGGAATTAGGACACGTATAAATTTAGTGATACTAAGAAAATGTTCAAGTTTTTCGTGACAAAACAATTCAGAATAATTCAAACAGTTATATTTTGTTTACAAAACAGTTGTATTAATCAATCTAGTTTTTGAATATTACATATATATATTTATATTTATGATTGTTTAATCACATCTTGGACCCATGTCCTACATATCAAACATTGTGGCCAAATTGGATGTTGTGCGTGATATTTGGGTCTAATCCAGCTAATGGAAAATTTTTGGATAACCATACCTCATAATTGACTTTTGTCTAGCATATGTTAATTTAAGTACGTGTATACCTTTTTGACAGCAAATTATCCTATGATTATCATGAATGTAAATGTTTTCTGTTTGAATGTTACATCAGTTCTATTGTCCACTAAATATTTTCTGATTTGTTTAGTAATTGCATTACATGTTTATTCACCCTCTCTGATAAATATTTTGCTTGGATGTTGACATTCCAATCAAAGTTTCCCAGACTTTTATATCAGTAGTGCAACTAGTAAATTGTAGGTTCTGGTGACCAGCTATCCCTATTTTTATCAACAAACTCTCTAATGTCAGCACAATGTCTTCTAAAGAGTGTCAACTATAATGTCAGCTTATACATCCCACTTTACAGGTTTTCAATTACAGTTTATACAACAATTAACATAGATTATTCTACTGTAAAAATGCTAACCATTAGGGGTTGGGGTGGTCTGCAATTTTCTTTTGAACTGAAATGATTTATTTTCTGTTTTCTCAAGATAATTATTGTTTTGAGCATTTTTTTTCAACTGTCATGATGGATACAGTATGGTGTTATTTACTATAAATCAGTAAGCAAGATATTTTTTCAAGCTATTGACAGATGGAAATTTTAAAAAGTGTCAAAAGCATTAAATTATTTTTCCAATTATAATTGCAATATACAGTGATACATTTCCAAATATAATTGCAATATACAGTGATATATTTCCAAATATAATTGCAATATACAGTGATATATTTCCAAATATAATTGCTATATACAGTGGTACATTTCCAATTATATTTGCTATTTACAGTGGTACAATTCCAAATATAATTGCTATATACAGTGATACATTTCCAATTATAATTGCAATATACAGTGATATATTTCCAAATATAATTGCAATATACAGTGATACATTTCCAATTATAATTGCAATATACAGTGATATATTTCCAAATATAATTGCAATATACAGTGATACATTTCCAAATATAATTGCAATATACAGTGATATATTTCCAAATATAATTGCAATATACAGTGATATTTTTCCAAATATAATTGCTATATACAGTGGTACATTTCCAATTATATTTGCTATTTACAGTGGTACAATTCCAAATATAATTGCTATATACAGTGGTACATTTCCAATTATAATTGCAATATACAGTGATAAATTTCCAAATATAATTGCTATATACAGTGGTACATTTCCAATTATATTTGCTATTTACAGTGGTACAATTCCAAATATAATTACTATATACAGTGGTACATTTCCAATTATAATTGCAATATACAGTGATAAATTTCCAAATATAATTGCTATATACAGTGGTACATATAACGTTATATTCACAAAATAAAATTTATAGATTGGCAGACTAATAAAGAAAAGGATGATGATAAAGTAAGACTGTTATGAAAAAATTCAATTGAACATCCAGTATTTGCACATTTTTAATGTTAAAAGGTCTGATTATCTTTTGATAGTAAAACAAATTAAAATGGGTGAAAATGTTAAAATTATAGAACATCCAAATGTAGGGTAGACCTAATATATTGTCTAAATTTTGAAAAATATATAAAAAATATTGTACAAATTTTAAAAAAGGTAAATTACTTAAAATATCAAAATCAGTTTTGTGACTCTCTCTAAAACTGTGGAGCATTAACTAGTTGGTGTTTATAAAGTATACACTTGTATTGATTGAATCTAGCTTTGCTATATATATATAGACTCATCATTTTAGTACCTACCATTTTATATTTTATGAGTTCTTGATAAAACAAGTTTACTAGTATCTGTAACATTATTTTTTTTTAGTTAGGAATTTATTAATGAATTCATTAATATTTTTCAGATCTGCTGCCAGCTTATTGTGAGTGGCTTCCTCAGTCATTGCATGAAAGCATTCAACAACTCTGGCCACCAATAATTGTAGGAACATTGGAAAGATAACCCCTTTTATTTACCAGTTCAAGAGTTTATTCACCCATATTGGGTTAAGTGCTGTTTGGTAAGGGGTGGAATCTGAAGCTTATAATGAATTTAAACAACTGCTTTTGAGTGCCTAGATACCTTTTGTCTTTTTTTGAATTTAAAAGTGTCTAGAATTGCAGCTGCTGTTGAGTACCTAGATGCTTTTTGTTATTGTGAAGTAGAATCTGCCTAGAAAGGACACTTGTCTGTAAAGTATACTTGTATATACTGTTGTTTTTGATGAATCAACATGAAAATACCTGTACATTTGTCCTTTATATAAAAGGTAATCTGTATGGAGAGTAATACTTGTTTTGTTAATGTTTTAACGAGATTTCACCACCTCAGTATTAGAGTGGTGGTTTTCTTCAAAGAGGATATTTTATGCATATGTTCTCTTGACTGAGTCTACATTTTCTTAACTAATATTTGTCATACAATGTAGCAATTGCTACACTTCAAATATAAAGCAATAAAAATAAAATTAAATTGACTTTTGGTTAATTTGATTTCAAAATAATTCACCTAGTAAGGAAATGTTTTCTTCCAGGTCATGAGATCAACCTTGCTAATTGCACATTCATTATCTTCCTTATTGATTGTGTATGTTTATTAGGATCTGAAGTGTGTCTAGATTTATAGTTTCCCTAAAAATGGTACTGCTAGCAGTTTTGCTCAACAACACAATTGCAATTAAGCAATACCATTATGTACAATAGTATTTACAGAAGACAGTAAAACAGCAATTAAACAAAACCATTAAAAACAATAGTTAAACAAGACCACTAAAACAATATACTCCAATTTATTTGGCAAAATCATTCTAAGCCAGTATTTCCATTTTATGTCATCTCTGACAAAGGTCAACTGATTTTTAATCATGCTCGAAAAGTTGATTACCACATTTGATCCTTTTATTATTATAATACCTTAAAAAACATCCCAAAATGGGCCAGAATTTTCTGGATTGCAACAAATAATCAGTTAGCAGCCAGTTATATACACATGCAATCTTTAATCTTATTATTCTTGCCATGCATCATTGAACTGGTAGCAATGACTGCTGGAGTAATTAATGTACTAAATAGGTTCTTGCTAGTTACTGTAATATATATAAATATCCAAAATGATATTTTGTTCAACCGTTGTTTGGATCATCTGTCCTTCCTCAGTTAGGATCACATGTATTTTAAGGCCTTGTGAGCACTAATTATAGGTAACCCAGGCAATCCATTACCTGGGTTACATGCTATGCTCTGTACAGCTTTCAATAGAGCATAAGTAAAAACTGTCAATAGTAAATTTTGAGGTTAAAAATTAATTTATCTAAGAATCTTAAATGGTTTTAAACCACAAGGTAATAATGTGGTAGATAATATTTTGTTAAACCACAAGGTCAACTGCAGCAGTAGCCTAGTGGTTAGAGCATCTGCCTTGGATGCAGGAGGTCACAGGTTCGAAACTCAGTCAAGTCATAACAAAGACTTATAAAAATGGTACTAGCAGCTGCCTCACTTGGCACTCAGCATTAAGAGGTTACAGTCAGGACTAGTCAATCTGCTGTCAGGATAATGATGGGACATATTGCTACAATATCTGCTTTAGTGCTGGACATCACTATAAAACTCCAGACATCGTATGGATATAACTGAAATTTTTTTAAGCAATATTAAGAATCAACAACACAGTTTTAGTGGGGTGCATAATGCTGTATGTTAAACAACAAGGCTTTAGTCTGGTGGATAATGCTGTATTTTAAACGACAAGGCTTTAGTCTGGTGGATAATGCTGTAGTTAAACAACAAGGCTTTCGTTTGTTGGATAATATTGTATGTTAAACGACACAGCTTTAGTCTGGTGGATAATGCTGTATGTGATGCTTTTATGAAAGACATTTTGTAATTTAGAAGTATTGTAATTTCTCTCCATTATGTCAGACTACAATTATCCTTTCATTTATTTACCACATTTGCAAAGGTACAGTCCTAATCTTTAGTAGTTCCATGTTATAATTATTTGGAGTGAATCCTCAGTAAATTAATTTTAAGACTCCCTACCTCACCAGTAGTGAAACAAAATCTTGTATTTTCTTTAATACTTTTAGGATGAGATAATGTAAAAAGTCCAAAAATTCTTTAGATCTTTATAAATGATTTGCTGCTTTGTTTTTTTTTTCTTCAAAAACTTCAAGTACATCTGGTTTTCATGATACAAAAATATATTTTATAATGTATTAACTCGTGTTGTCAAGATCACCGCAGTGTTTACAAAAAGATAAAAAAATTTAAGAGTATTGTGATACATATCTGAATTTAGATATGTCCAAAAACAAAAATAAAGCACATGCTTCATTGTTGAACATATTTCACAATTAACAGGGAACAAACAGAATGTGTCACACATTAGTTTCTGGTTTATTTTACAGCATTAGCCACTGAAACCTTTGATAATGGCAAACCAGAATTATAGATTAAAATGATTTTTGTATCATCTTGTATCTCGCAACTTGTTTTCATCACATTGCAAAATCTTACATAAGATGAAGTCTAGAGTTTTATCAGTTTAACTACTTGCAAAATAGACACCTTTCTCATCATTGAGATATATGGGAAAGGACATAGCAGATAAGTATTTAAAATTCACTAATAAAAATAAGTTCTTTTTATACATTTTAGAGGCAGATTTCTTTTTATGCTACCCCAAAATTACACTGGTGAAATTTACAAGATTATTAACTTACTCAAAAGCTGGGGGTAAGCTATTATGAAACTTGTTTTAGACTTGAATGCACTTATAATTTAAAAACAGGTACCTATTAATTTCAAAGTACATCAACCAGTTTGCAGCTGAATGATTTGTGCATATCACTTTAGATTGAGGCACATTTGATCTACATATGCCAGAATTCACGATCAGTTCTGAAAGATAGAAAATGCATTTTTATTTTCATTGATGTCAGAGATAGAAGAATTTTCTTCTGGAATGTCAATGTTATTCCAATTTAAGAGATGCCTTTCAAAGGAAGCAATTATGTATAGGCTTTAAGTAATTAGGTATAAGTATTAATCAATTAGGTATGTACATTAAGTATTAGATATTTTCATCAGTTCTCAAAACTGACTGTAGAGAACTGCTTTATTCACACAGGAAAATATACATTTTTAGAAATATTGGGACATTTAATTTTAGACAGCAAAAGTCATCAAAACTGCAAATGCTGTATAATGGCAGAATTTTTTTAAAATGAATTAACTTTTGATTACCTAGGGAGAGTGTTTTGCCTCTCTGCCTATTGGCTAATTGACTAACTGTAGACACATGCATATGTAATTCAAAATATTATGATCAGTTAATGGAGTGTGTGTAGTTCACCTCATGCTACATGATATATGAACTTGTCTTTCATCATAATGTTCTTTCAGTCATTTTTTTTTTGTTTATTGTGGTTGTCAATTTTTGTGCCCATTATTGAGAAAGCAATTACATTTTGCCTTGGTTAGGTGGTGAATGATTTAAAAAGTTATTACTACATTGATGGGAGGAAGGAATTAAAGAATGATAAAGCGACGCAGAAAAATATTTGACTTGACTCAAACGAACAGTGTCAATGGCAGTATTATAGCTATACAGAATCATTGAATAAAATGTTCAGAGAAGTTTTTCAGTATTTACTGGCCATAAATAAACCAGCATTTTACTTCCAAAAAACTGTTTTTTAAAGTCTAGTGCCATTTTGTAGCTAACGGAGGTCACTTAGACTTAAAAAAGATTGTAGGGAACAGAGGCCTATTATGGTATGCAACGTTTTACATCATTTGAAAAAGGAATAGTCTTTTGAAAATGTAATTAAAACTTTTGCTTCTTTTTTATTTTCCAGTTTTGTTCAGGTCAAAAAAGAGTAACCACAATTCTCTTCCTTTCAGGAAATCATCACTTACCAGTTTCACAATCGCATTGGAAATTATCACTTACCAGTTTCACAACCGCAACCTCCAGAAGCTTTTTTAACAAAAGGAAAATATGCTACTTTGTCCTCGGCATCAAAGAGGACAGTTATTAAATGCTTACTATCTTTCCTGCTACCTCTGCACATATTTTTTGGTTTTGTCTCAAATGAAGAATGTTTGACTCGCCACCATGTCATTCAAGTATGTTGCCATCTTCTTTCTGCTTTTGCATGACTGTTTGTACTGATTCTAGTGGGCAAAACTCCACCCATAAAACATTCGGATACTTGTCTCGAAATGTCAAAAGTTTGTAATACCTGATCTTGTCGAGATGATACAAGATTTCATTGTAAATTGATGGACCTATAGACGTCCGCTTTTTCATCAAAGTGTAAACTATGCTAAAATGAGAAAAAGTAAAAATGTTGATGTTGATTCATGGCGGCCAGTTTTAATGGTGGAGGAAGAAACCGGGAAATCACCATAAAGAACCACCGACTCACTGGCAAGCTTTCTCACATATCTACATTAGCCGAATCCTAGACTCGAACACACGCAGAGGTGAGATGGCAGTGATCCGTAACGGACAGCGCTTTAGACCACTCGGCCACTCGGGGCTCCTAGGGGGAAAAAAAGCCATTTCATTAAAATGTCTTTAGGTTGAAAAATACAATGGAAACACATTGTAAATACCATGTAAATACAGTGCAAATACAATGTATATAAAGTGTTAATGCAATGTAAAAATGCAATGTAAAGACAATGTAAATACAATGTAAAAATACAATGTAAAGAAAATGTAAATACAATGTAAAAATATATTGTAAATGCAGTGTAAGTATAAATACAATGTAAATATAGTGTAAATGCAATGTAAAATATAAATACAATGTAAATTATAGATAAATGTCTATATTTCTATTACACACATTCATATGAATTTATCTGGAATACTAAATTCATGCAAAAGCACCATACACAGCTGTGCAATTTCATTCAAAAGAAGGTATAACAGACTATAGTAAGAAACTATACAGTACTGTCCCAGTCAAATCAGAAAGACGGGATATTTATGTGTATCACCATCTCATATAGACTTATTAAAACATTAAAAATAACTTTCAAAATCACGAGACCAACAAAATTCAGTTTTATTTCTCAAAAAAAAAATATAAGAATTACTAAACTGAGAAGAGAAGGAGGGACTAATGAACGTATTTTTACACAGCATAACGAGACAGCAGTGTTTTATCAAATTCAGTAATTTTCAGAGATAATATAAATATTCCATGCATCCATGAAAGTTGTAATGTCAGTATCGAGATGATGTTTTGCAATATAGGATAAGATAAAAGTCGCAACAAACTAGTTGTCTTGAAAAAAAAAACAACATTGAATAGGATGAAGGCTAATGAAAGTGTTCGTTTGCTGATTTTAAAAGCAAACAATAGACTAATGTTTTAGAAAATATAAGATTTACAGTTTTTATGTAATGATTATAATACAGAAACTTTGTCAACTGTGATATCACAAAAGGTTAATAGGTGCAGTATAGAAACAACTATAGAAATAAAAGGTACAATGTTGCATGATGCGGATGATATCCAATCTTGCCAAGTACGTGTCAACGTTGTATGATGTTAACAATATTCAATATTTGCCCAGTACAACGTTTATCTGATATATAATCTGTTATAAACTGTTACAAAAAAAAAAGAGGTTAAAAGGATGAAAGAAGACCTGGAGAAAAGAAATACATGTGATAAAAATGTTAAGCAAGATTAAAATGGTATTATATTAAATGTAATGTACAGATTAAACACGGAGAGAGACGGCGACAATGAATTACATGTGCATGCCAAAAGGAGAAATGAACGCTCGTTTTATTAGTACAAGAAAAGACAAATTTATATTGTTCCGTCCTCGGGGGATCGCTCAGGTGGCCTAGTGTGCGCCTTAGATGAGGAGGTAGGTTCGAACCAAGGCCGAGTCATTCATATCCAAGATATAAAAAATGGCACTAGCAGCTGCTTCGTTAGGTGCTCAGCATTAACAGGTTAGTGTTAGGACTTGTCGGGCTAATGTGGCTGAAACATTAAATTTTAATTTTCATGTTTATCAGGTGTTACATCTCGTTATTACAAGTACATAAAAGGACCTTTTCCAGTTTAATCCCCAAAAGTAAGACTACTGGCAGAATTGTTGGCAGCGAGAATATTTAGTCGGTCTTTAATATTTTTCAGAAGAGAAGTTTGCTCATTTATTTATCATTAAAGAATGATAAAATGTGATAAATACTGGAAACGTAGAGTGGTGTTATTGTATATCCAACTTATACAGAAGTTGTTCTATTTAGCTCAATCAATATTTTACGAATAACAAGAAAAAAACTTACAGCGATACTATTTTGCTTTTCTAGAACCATTAGCTATACCGATATCTATATATTAGTCATACCGATGTCTATATATTAGCCATAACGATGTCTATATTAGCCATACCGGTGTCTATATATTAGTCATACCGATGTCTAT